ACTGGGGGCACTTGGGCGCTCAGCTGTTGGGGAGGTGGCAAGGGGCAGTGTGTCTCCTCCATTCCCTCATCCGCTAGATGCAGCATGGCCAAGGTCATTGGGGCATGACCAAGGCCATTGTTGTAGTCACTGTGTCACTTCATCTGGTCCAGAGCCTTCCTCTCTTTCGCTGCCTGTCCACTCTCACCAGCACGCTGTCCTTTATCCAGGGACGGGCGACCACAGTCTCAAACTTAGCCACAGTTGTGCGGATGCCTCAGGACAGGGTGGTGGCTGTGCGTGGGAACCGATTCTCCCACAGGGTGGCCGTGAGGAGCGAGGACCAACAGTGTGCCATACTCGCAGATCAGGACGTGTCCACCTAGCTCTCCTTCGGTGGTCCCGCCCTGGACAAGGACAAGAAGATGGCAGGGCCCCTGCCGTTGGTTGGTCCTGGCCTCTCAGCAGCCAGGCCTATGCTGGGCCCCGGATGGGACAGGCTGGAGGTCTCAGAGCTGGGTTGAAATCTAGGCTGCAGGACCTCGGCAGAGCCAGCTCCCTCTCTGAGGTGGCACTAGGTCCCTGCCTGCCCCTGGCCCCTTCTCTTCTAGCCCTTGGGCTCCCCTTAGCTGGAGCCCTTGGTAGGCCCAGCGATGGGCGTGACTCCCTCCTGGTCCACATTTCTTACTCCTGTCCCCTCTCTTGATCTCAGGTAGTAGAAACCGAGGCTCAGAAAAGGACAGTGTCTTTTTGCAAAGTCACACAGCATGTCAAGCAGACTGAGACCCACCAGCCCCAGGCTGAGAGGCTGTCTGCGGACAGCAGGGGTCTTGCAATGGGCTCTCCTTCACGCTGCATCCCTCTTCTCTTCTAATCTCTGACTGCCTCCTCTGGTCTCTTCCTGCCCTCTGCCCCCTTCCTCCTCTCTCCCCTGCCCTTCCTCAGTTATGACCCCTCCCAGGTTCCTCCTCGGCCTCTCTCCACCTTCAAATGGAAAACCCAAATGGAATTTCCATGGCCTTTCTCAGTGCCTGCTGCCTGCCATCGGCAGAGCCTCCATCACAGCGGCGCCCTCACCCTGCTCACCGGCGCGGTGGCTGTGGAGTGCACTTCCGGAGAGCTCTCGAGAAATCCATTTGTGTTCTTCTCGCTTGCCTGAGGGCCTTAAGGACTGGGTCTCTCAAGGCCTGGCTTTCTCTTCTAAAAGGCGATGCTTAGGGCAGCACCTGATCTGCACCCCCATCTCCAACAATGGCACTCCTCCTGTTTCCTTGGTCAGCATACCCCTCTGAGGCCGGGGTGGGGGATGACAGAATCATGGAGGAAGATGTTGAGAGGGGGGCAGGCTGGGGAGCCCAGTGGGTGAGGCAGAGAACCCCAGACTGGCCATGTGTCCCCAAAGCTCAACGGGGGCTCAGCAGACACAGCTGCAAATTGCCTCTCCCCTCTGGCCCTCGGCTCCCCGCTCTGTACCCTGGGCTTGGAGAAGCAGGGGCCAGGCCTCATCCCAGGGCTGAAGGTGGTGATGCTGGATTTTCTGGATCCTGAATGGTGGGTAAAGGGGCTGCAAGGGCATGGGCCCGGGATCCAGGCTTTGCAGGTTCAAAGTCTGGCTTCACCACTTGCCAGCTGTGTGAGCTTAAGCAAGGCATGGGACCTCTCTGTGCCTCCGTTTCCTCACCTGTGCGTGCGTGTGTTGGGTGTGGTCACCATCCTCTGCTTGGTGGCACACAAGGACCATGACCTGGCAGGGTGCCGTGAGGACCCAGTGCAGGTGGCTGGTTCACAGAATCAGGCTCAACAGAGACACCACCGTGATGGGTCTTAGGAACAGAGAGACATTTTCTCATAGTATAAGAGGCTAGCTGGCTGAATTCAGGGTGCGGCCCGTCCTTTGTGAGCCTCATGTGGCAGGAACATATTCCACTATTTCCCCTCCCCCACCTGGGCAGTGGCAGTTACATAATCTGTCAACTTGGTAAGGGGCGGAGTCTATCCTGTCAATCAGGCATGGCCTTCTCCTAAGGATTCTGGGAA